CTCTGACATTGCAGACAGTTTCTTCACTGTCTGAGCCACCAGGGAAACTCCTCCATTACACCTAAAATTCCATTAAAACTCATTGCACTGTGCTCTACTGTGTCTGACGTTTTGTGACCCTATGGACTGTAGCCTGCTAGGCTCCTCTGTCCATAGAAATTTTCAGGCAAGAATACTGAATTGGTTTTCTACTCCAAGGAATCTTCCCGATCTAGGGATTGAGCTTATGCCTCTTGCATCTCCTGCATTGGAAGGTGGATTCTTTATCCCAATACCACCTGGAAAGCTCCCAAACTATGCTTGATCTTAGCTCAAAGGCTGAAAACAAGTCCCAGAAGGCCCTGCCTGCTTAATCTCACCACTGCCTAACTTTCTGAATTTCTCTCTCAACATCCTTTCCTTTACTGTTAGCTTCACTGATAGCTTTAATCTAGTAACAGTAACTTTCTCACTACTTCATCATGCAAAATAATTCCCACCTTAGAACATTTAGATGAGAATTTCTTTTGGGGCTTCCCAGGTGGTGCTAGTGGTAAAGAACTTGCCTGCCAATGTAGGAGACATAAGAGAGGCCAGTTCCATCCCTGGATGGGGAAGGTCCCCTGGAGAAGGGCATGACAACCCCCTCCAGTATTCTTGCCTAGAGAATCCCTTGGACAGAAGAACCTGATGGGCTATGGTCCATAGGATCACAAAGAGTCAGACATGACTGAAGCTGCTTAGAACACACACACAGCTTGTTCTTTGGCTTAAACACTTAACAAACATATCTCCTTTACTTCATCTTGTGTTCAAATATCTATCCAAACTGACTTTTCTTGATCATTTTATGTTAGTGGCATATCCTTTCTGTATGAAATTCCTTTCTTGAAACACATATCTCTATTACATCATATATTTATTGCCATCTCCCTGGAATGTAATCCTAATGAGGTCATGCATTTTATTTTTTATTTTAAGCTTTGCCTCTGAACATAGAAAACTGGCATAAAGAGAACTCTAAATATTTGCTGGAAAACTGATGGAATCCAGTTGGGGTCTCTGTCATATCACTGATTTGTTAGTTATCAACTCATTATATTCTGGAATCTTCTGGGAGCTTTTAAAATATTGATACTTTGACCTTATTGCAATTCAACAAGAATTTCTGGATATGGGATTGACTACTCCCACTCGTGAGAGAATATGAAAAACTGTGCTGGTGGTGGCATTACAAATCTACTATAGAAGTCTGAGCTCTGTCTCTGTCTCTGCCCCTAACTGTGGATTAATAGCCATCATGGATATGGCTTCAGCTTCCACTGTCCTTTTTTCAATGAAAGATATTTGTCCCTTCTATTCTATTAAAAAACTTATATTAAGAAGACCAAATCTTTTATATAATTAGCACAAAATTATTTCTTCTACCAACTATTTCAGGCTTCTCAATGTTATTTTCATTTTGGGCTTATTTAACTATGGTTGGATAGCATCACCGACTCGATGGGCATGAGTTTGAGTAAACTCCAGGAGTTGGTGATGGACAGGGAGGCCTGGTGTGCTGCGGTTCATGGGGTTGCAAAGAGTCAGACATGACTGAGCAACTGAACTGAACTGAACTGAGTTGGAAGGACTGATGCTGAAGGTGAAGCTCCAATACTTTGGCCACCTGATGCGAAGAGCAGACTCATTAGAAAAGACCCTGATGCTGGGAAAGATTGAAGGCAGGAGGAGAAGGGGAAGACAGAGGATGAGATGGTTGGATAGCATTACCGACTCAATGGACATGAGATTGAGCAAACTCTGGGAGATAGTGAAGGACAGGGGAGCCTCACATGCTACAGTATGAGGTCACAAAGAGTCAGACATGATTTAGCAACTGAACAAAAACAACAAAAATTTTGACTACTTTATTTGGAGCCCATCTTTGACCACGAAAAGTAAAAACCACTTACCTTGAAACTAGTTTCTATATAAAGGAATGATTATTGTCCGAATTGTGGCTGATTAACATGGTATTAACTTCCTTATTTATGATAATAATCCTGGTCATATTTCCTATAAGTTTATTTACTGCCATTGAAAATCTACTTTCTTGTCCACATATTAAGTGGAACATGTTTTATGTAAGTTTTGCAATGTATAAGCAATCTATTTTATACTTATTTTTCCTCTGGGATTAATTTCCTTAGAATTTTTTAGAAATTGTTCTTATAATAATTTAACTGGGACACTTTCTTGAAAAAAAGCTTGTGCTTCTCACATCCTTGACAGGTACTCTTATATTAGGTATGGGACTTGGAAGACACCTTAAAACTTGAGTTCAGTTACTTTCCCTGACTTTCACTACTATGACTTAGATCTCCATAATTTCTCTTCTATAAATTGCACAGAACAGCAAACTCTGGTACTAACTGTACAAAAACACTGTTACATAATTTGTTATTTTAGCTACTTTGACTAATGCAGATTTTTCACTTGTCTTATCCCTTTATGAAGAGTCCTGCCCTCACTATCTCTCGAAAGTTTTTGAAGCTTTTTTGGGAATAATTGTTATCAAGTAAGGTCAAGCTAGTTGACGCTGCATACAACCAGAGAAAACTAATATACATGTTGCATTCCTCATAACTTCTAATTATTGAGAATTCATTTTATTTAATTAAATTCTTAACGATTTATTCTTTCAGAAAAAATATATTATGAATGTAGAGATATGAAAACAGAAATAAAATAAGTACTTATTCAAGGTCAATTAAGAAGGGTACAGCAGTAGCAGGAGTTAGAAAGTATCTGAAACTGATTATGAAATTATAAAAAGCATCAAAATAAGCTGTAATAAAATTTAAACCAAACTTAAATTCATAAATTAGTTAGATTTTTTTAATGCATTTTTCTTGAGAAATTAATAAAAATAACTGGGTAATGTTGGCTACTCTTCTCAAGGATGAAATATAGACATCCCTCTGTAGATAGTGTCCTTTGAACTCTGAACTCTTAAGGTGTACTTTCATTGTTTAAGCTGATCTCTAGCCTCTGTGAGCTACCATGGTAACAACTATGCCAGGCTAGGTTATGATGGCTCTTGATATACTGGTGGCTTGAGTGTGAAATAGGTAGATTTGAATGATTTAGGCTATGACCACTAACTATTTTCTTTCTATGGAATAATTTCTTTACATTGCATTCTAAACGTATCAATCTCTCAGTCCTTTAGGTCTTTATTATTATACTCCTTTCTTCTGTTTCTTCAGTGTCATCAAAATAATGTATTCATCTTGACCTCTTTATTGCAGTTGCTCTCCTGATAGCCTAGTGTGGACCACTAATGAAGCAGTCATACTACATACACAGGACCAGGCTGGAATAGGAGGGCCTGTTTCTCTTTAAAATTTCACCCCCAGTGAAAACTTCTTATAACATTGCCACATTATTAACACTCTTCTAAATTTCTTATTCCATAGAGAAAAATATCTGTGCATGTTTCCAATAAAATTGCTTTATTGACATAGAAAGGTTGGTTTATTTATTCCTCTAAGTGGAAGTTTTTCATTTAAGTTTTGCTAGCATTTTTGCAATATACAATATGCTTCATTTTGAATTATATTTCTTAGTAATGCTTGCTTATGCCTGCACTTAGTTGCTCAGTCATATTTGATTCTGTGCAATGGTGGTGGACTGTAGCCCATCAAGCTCCTCTGTCCATGGAAATTTCCAGGCGAAGATACTGGAGTGAGTTGCTATTTCCTCCTCCATGGTATCTTCCCTACCCACAGCTAAAACCCATATTTCCTGTGTCTCCTGCTTTGGCAGGCATGTTATTTACCACTAGCGACACTTGGGAAGCCTGGCATAATTTCTTATAAAAGACTTAAATAAAGCTTTCTTATAAGATGTCATTACTTCTTTTTTACTTTTTTGATCTGGGCCATTTTTAAAGTCTTTGTTGAATTTGTTACAATATTATTTCTTTTGTTTTCTGGCCATGAGGCTATCAGACATGTGGAATCTTAGCTCCCTGACCAGGAATCAAATCCTCTGCATTGGAAGGGGAAGTCTCAACCACTGGACCACCAGAGAAGTCCCCAAGATAGTTTTCCTCCTTGAACTGATGCAATTTTACCGTGATTCAAATATTTCAGAACTAATTGAGTATAGATTTGTCCCATAATGAAAGAGGCATTGCCCTTTCATTTTACAGATAAGAACTCTTACATATCTTCTTTTCCTTGTTGCCTCAACCTGTGTACCTTTAAGCATCTTCAAAGGTATACAAGAAGGGAATCATCCATAGTTCTACATTCCTTTCACATAGTTACTAATTTGGTGAGCTGAGAGAGAAGTAAAACGCACAAGGATTGTTGCTCCATCTTTGGGGAACTTTGCTGCAAAGGTCAAAACCAGAGATGGGAATTATTATTCTCTGCACATATGTGAAAATTGGTATTTTTAAGAGATTGAGAAATGCAAGTCTACACAATGTCTAATGGATAGAACCAAGATTTGAATGAAAGACCTGTGTGTCTCCATATACTGGGCACTCAATCAATGTGTTCTAACACTTTAAAACTCATTTCAAAAGTAAACAGAAAAACATACATTTTTAGTCTAGGAGGAGAGCTCTGGCTCTTTTGAAAGGAAGAAAATAAGAGCCAAAAACTAGAAAACTTAGATATGATGCAAGAAGAGGGTAGATTGTACCCAGTCATCTAGTTAGGTAATGTTAAGCACAGTCATAGGCTTTAAAGACTTGATAGTAATTACCTTTTATTAAAAGACTCCAGCTGCAAGAAGTGCAGATGAAGCAAATATGTAAATGAAATCATGCATCAGTAGCACGAAAACTCTTAAAATCAAAAGGCAAAGATATAATTGGGCTGTTTTGCACAGTTGTAAAAAGAAATAGGAATGCAAAATATCCATGGAGGGGACCACACCCACAATGAAGGAGTATAAATGTCTGATGCAGCTGGTAACATCCATTCTAAGGAGAGTCACTTTTGACATCCAACCAAATCCTCAAGCCCTGACACAATGAGCTACTACTACGGCAACTACTATGGTGGCCTTGGCTATGGCCTTGGTGGCTTTGGTTGCCTGGGCTATGGCTATGGCTCCACCTATGGTCTTGGAGGCTATGGTGGTTATGGCTGTGGCTACTTCGGGCCCTCTCTCTATGGCAGATACTAGTCATCTATAGTCTTCTGAGAACACAGGCCAGTGTGTGAAAATTCACAGCTTTAATATTACTGTCATCAAGGGATTCTGTTCCTTCTTTCACTATCATTAGTGACATCTTCAAGAGCTTTTCCTGAGTTGCTGCTGAAGAAGACATCGAAATGTGGACTAATCCTCTGAATCTGAGAAGATCTGTTTCCTTGATCCATATCTCATAACCCAAGCTGGCTACCTTCATTCCAGCTGTGTTATTGAACTGAACTTCCTTCTTGATTCCTTTGGGGATATTCTGGGGCATATTACCTAGTAAATTTTGGTTATGGAAATCTAAAATCTTGTTTTCTTTCCATTGAAGATATTGGTTCTCAAGGTTTTACTGAAAAAGATGACCGTCACTTCAGAATTCAGGTTATTACAGTATTTTCTGTGATATGTTTCTTTTTTGGTCTTCCAACATGACCAGTGATATTCTTGAGGTCTTCTCACATGGTGCTGATGGTAAAGAATTTGCCAACCAAAATAGGAAATGCAAGAGACATGGTTCGATCCTTGGGTCAGGAAGATCCCTTGGAGAAGGAAATGGAAACCCACAACCAGTATTCTTGCCTGGAAAATTCAATGCACAGAGGAGCTTGGTGGGTTATAGTCTATGGGACCACAAAGAGTCAGACACCACTGAGCAACTAAGCACAAATAAGACACAAACTTGACCAATGACATTCTTGAGAGCTTCCCTTGGGCCAACAAGAAGATATCACCATGTAAAGGGCATATTAGTTTCAGTAGGGACTAATCTCTCTGATAAGAGTTTTGGTACTCAAACTGGATATTGCCATGTATAGAATATATATACATATAGAATATATATAAACATACATACATCATATGCCCCCACCTTCCTTATACTTTCTGCGACATTTCTGGAAATACATTTTAATAAATTTTCCATGAGCTTATACTACTTGACTTCATTTCTTTTCATCTATTGTAGTGCACTGCTAGAACTTGAATATTTGTGTCCCTGCAGAATTCCTATGTTGAAGCATAATCCCCAATGTGATAGCATTTGAAGGCGGGGCCTTTGGGAGGTGATTAGGTCATAAGGGAAGAGCTTTCAGGAATGAGATTAGTGCCTTCATAAAATAGATCCCAGAGAGCTCCCTCACTCCTTCTGCCATGTGAGGGCACAAAAAGACAATAATCCATGAACGATAAAATGGGTCTTTACCAGACACTAGGTCTTCTGGAAACTTGATCTTGGATTTCTAGTCTCTAGAACTGTGAGAAATGTCTGTTGTTTGTAAGTAATCCAATATATGGTATTTCTATGATAGGCAGCCTTAATGGATAAACACTTGAATTTATTTACTTATTTATTTATTTATTTAATTAGTTGGAGGCTAATTACTTTACAATATTGTAGTGGGTTTTGTCATACATTGACATGAATCAGCCATGGATTTACATGTGTTCCCCATCCTGATCCCCCCTCCCACCTCCCTCTCTGCCCGATTCCTCTGGGTCTTCCCAGTGCACCAGCCCTGAGCACTTGTCTCATGCATCCAACCTGGGCTGGTGATCTGTTTCACCCTAGATAATATACATGTTTTGATGCTGTTCTCTTGAAACATCCCACCCTCGCCTTCTCCCACAGAGTCCAAAAGTCTGTTCTATACATCTGTGTCTCTTTTTCTGTTTTGCATATAGGGTTATCATTACCATCTTTCTAAATTCCATGCATATGTGTTAGAATACTGTAATGGTCTTTATCTTTCTGGCTTACTTCACTCTGTATAATGGGCTCCAGTTTCATCCATCTCATTAGAACTGATTCAAATGAATTCTTTTTAATGGCTGAGTAATATTCCATGGTGTATATGTACCACAGTTTCCTTATCCATTTGTCTGCTGATGGGCATCTAGGTTGCTTCCATGTCCTGGCTATGATAAACAGTGCTGCGATGAACATTGGGGTGCATGTGTCTCTTTCAGATCTGGTTTCCTCAGTGTGTATGCCCAGAAGTGGGATTGCTGGGTCATATGGCAGTTCTATTTCCAGTTTTTAAAGAAATCTCCACACTGTTCTCCATAGCGGCTGTACTAGTTTGCATTCCCACCAACAGTGTAAGAGGGTTCCCTTTTCTCCACACCCTCTCCAGCATTTATTTCTTGTAGACTTTTGGATAGCAACCATCCTGACTGGCGTGTAATGGTACCTTGTTGTGGTTTTGATTTGCATTTCTCTGATAATGAGTGATGTTGAGCATCTTTTCATGTGTTTTTTATCCATCTGTATGTCTTCCTTGGAGAAATGTCTGTTTAGTTCTTTGGCCCATTTTTTGATTGGGTCATTTATTTTTCTGGAGTTGAGCTGGAGGAGTTGTTTATATATTTTTGAGAATCCAACAACATATTAAAAAAATCATACACCATGACCAAGTGGGCTTTATCCCAGGAATTCAAGAATTCTTTAATATTCTCAAATCAATCAATGTGATACACCACATTAACAAATTGAAAGATAAAAACCATATGATTATCTCAATAGACGCAGAAAAAGCCTTTGACAAAATTCAACATCCATTTATGATAAAAACTCTCCAGAAAGCAGGAATAGAAGGAACATACCTCAACATAATAAAAGTTATATATGACAAACCCACAGCAAGCATTACCCTCAATGGTGAAAAATTGAAAGCATTTCCCCTAAAATCAGGAACAAGACAAGGGTGCCCACTCTCACCACTCTTATTCAACATAGTTTTGGAAGTGTTGGCCACAGCAATCAGGGCAGAAAAAGAAGTAAAAGGAATCCGGATAGGAAAAAAAGAAGTGAAACTCTTGCTGTTTGCAGATGACTTGATCCTCCACATAGAAAACCCTAAAGACTCTACCAGAAAATTATTAGAGCTAATCAACGAATATAGTAAAGTTGCAGGATATAAAATTAACACACAGAAATCCCTTGCATTCCTATACACTAACAATGAGAAAACAGAAAGAGAAATTAAGGAAACAATACCATTCACCATTGCAACAAAAAGAATAAAATACTTAGGAGTATATCTACCTAAAGAAACAAAAGACTTATACATAGAAAACTATAAATCACTGATGAAAGAAGTCAAAGAGGACACAAACAGATGGAGAAATATACCGTGTTCATGGATTGGAAGAATCAATATTGTCAAAATGGCTATACTACCCAAAGCAATCTATAGATTCAATGCACTCCCTATCAAGCTACCAATGGTATTTTTCACAGAACTAGAACAAATAATTTCACAATTTGTATGGAAATACAAAAAACCTCGAATAGCCAAAGTAACCTTGAGAAAGAAAAATGGAACTGGAGGAATCAACCTGTCTGACTTCAGACTATACTACAAAGCCACAGTCATCAAGACAGTATGGTACTGGCACAAAGACAGAAATATATATCAATGGAAAAGAATAGAAAGCCCAGAGATAAATCCACGAACCTATGGACACCTTATCTTCAACAAAGGAGGCAAGGATATACAATGGAAAAAAGACAACCTCTTTAACAAGTGGTGCTAGGAAAACTGGTCAACCACTTGTAAAAGAATGAAACTAGAACACTTTCTAACACCATACACAAAAATAAACTCAAAATGGATTAAAGATCTAAATGTAAGACCAGAAACTATAAAACTCCTAGAGGAGAACATAGGCAAAACACTCTCTGACATAAATCACAGCAGGATCCTCTATTACCCACATCCCAGAATATTAGAAACAAAAGCAAAAATAAACAAATGGGACCTAATGAAACTTAAAAGCTTTTGCACAACAAAGGAAACTATAAGCAAGGTGAAAAGACAGCCCTCAGATTGGGAGAAAATAATAGCAAACGAAGCAACAAACACTTGAATTTTATGTTTCAAAAATAAATTTTTGAAAAATGGGTGTTTTTTTAAAAAGATTATATAGATTAAATTCTATATGTCTATAATTATATATTTATCTGTATATATATACACACAAACAGACACACACATACATACACACAGATTTTTCTCTGTGAAAGAATAAAAGTCCTTAATTCATGCCAATGTTTCCTTAGATATAAAAGTCAGAATTTTTAAGACCACATATTGTTTATTTGCCATGAATTTTAATAAGAAAATCCTTTCATTATTATATAACACTCAATGGAAATAAATAGCTTAGACATTCGTAATTACAAATACATTCAAAATCTCCAGTATAGGAAGCTTTTGTTGGTGGGCTGGAGCTGTCTCATACTGGCTCACAAGAGTGATTTTGAGATCACTCTTCAACTTCATGTTTAGTGGCTTCACTTTGTTTGATTGAAAGAGACCTAGATGAGAATACTGACACCACAGAAACCAGCAAAGGCTAAATAAAGTCAGGCTTCTTCCTCTTTTTTTAAGGAAGACTTTTTTTTTTTCTTATCTTTCCTTGTTCCCTTCCTCCCTTCCTTTCTCTCTCTCTTTCTTTCTTATTCTTTCTCTCTTTCTTTACAACTGGTGATATCCATTCTGAATTAGGTAAAATATTGGGTTTTTCAAAATCTCCAGTATGTAAAAAGAAGAAAAAACTACTTCATTATTTTTGTGTGTTTGTTGTGCATATCACTTCAGTTCAGTCCCTCAGTCGTGTCCGACTCTTTGCAACCCCATGCACTGCAGCATGCCAGGCCTCCCTGTCCATCACCATCTCCCAGAGTTTACTCAAACTCACGTCCATTGTGTTGGTGATGTCATCCAACGATCTCATCCTCTGTCGCCCCCTTCTCGTCGCACCTTCAATCTTTCCCAGCATCAGGGTCTTTTCCAATGAGTTGGTTCTTTGCATCAGGTGGCCAAAGAATTGAACTTTCAGCTTCAGCGTCAGTCCTTCCAATGAATATTCAGGATTGATTTCCTTTAGGATGGACTGGTTGGATCTCCTTGCCATCCAAGGGACTCTCAAGAGTCTCCTCCAACA